ACTCCAAAATTTAATACCGATAGAGTATCAAAAAAATAACTTTTAGTGCCATTGTCTTATCCGTCAAATGTTAGATACTAATGATTTGTTTGCTGATGGGATTGGGAGGGTATGTAAATGTGGTTTTAAGTAAAATAGTATTTTTTTTTATTAATAAGTAAAATAGTTAAATTGATCACTTATGGACTGTTTGGTAAAAAAGTATGATGAGAATTGATAAGATGAGTTTAAGAAAAATAGTCTAAAGGACCCCTAAATCCTATATTTGGATTAAAAATTCAATCATGAATTCTCAAACCTGGCCCGTAGTTTGCCAAAAGATTAAATTCATGATCATGTGTTTGACGAAACCTAGGAAGGGGATGTGTTTGAAAAGATGAGTTAAAAAGTTAAGAATACAAATGATAATTCTACCCCTTAACATGGATGTAAATTAGATTGATTAAGAGTAAAATAGTTATTTACAGGACAAATAATTGTTAATAATTATGATATATCCGTATATCTTACATATTTATATGTTGTATACCAATCATGAGTATGAACTGAATTGAATGTTAAATCTCATCTTTGTAAAGAGGGGTTTGAGTTTGGAAGAATTTAGAGAAGTCAATCCAAATCCCTTCTCAAAAATTCATCCAAACACGCCTTTAATCTTATGTTTGCTAATTAAGATTTTTAAACGCAGAATTAAGATCCGAACCCATGGGGAGGGGTGTGTTTTAAATTAGCCAACCCATGACATAATGATTAAAAGACCTTTTTATCCCTAATTTATCCAATTACAAAGATTTGGATAGAACAATTTAATCAATTATAAGACAAATGTTTGTAATTTGGTAAAAAAATTTGGGAAAAGTAGTAGTAAGCACAACTTTGTTCAATTATCAATATGTAATAAATCAAAAAATAATTTTCTACCTTAATTATTTGAAATTACTTGAAAATAATAAAAGTTTACATATGTCTCTTTCTGATTGACCTAAAATATCAGCAGTATGTTATGGAAAAGTTACCATATTTCTCTCCTTTGGCTGCAGTTGTCGGTGAATAAATCATGTCCAATTTGTATTATGTTTAAATCAATTTAATTTTCACTTGATTTGTTGGTAATTGTGGATAGTTGAGTTTGTATTTTGTCAATTATGTATAAATCGGATTTATTTATTTTGTATAATTTTTAGTAGAATTTATGTTGATCTATTTATTTAACAAGTGTAACAAATTAATCGATTCGCCCAATGATATTCTTTATCTTGTGAAGATTTTTCAGATTTACGAACCCGAACAACATAAAAACACTTCTACTCACCAAAAATAGATTAAAAGTTTCTCACATTATCCAAAAAAAATTAGTCGGTTCGCAAATTCAATAAAACTAAACATATAGGTGATTATTTGTCAATTTCACGTCAAACTTGCGGGTTTTACTAAACTTTGTCAATCTTTCGAAGTAGATTACGGTTCATTCCACGAGCTTTTCGGTATCATATAAAAATTTATCACATTTGTGATAACTTTTATCATATTTGTGGATAGTTTTACCACTGTTGTGATACTCAAAAAAATGGTAAAAGTATTTATCACAATATTAATAAAAGCATCTACAAATGTTGTAAAAATACCTACAAATGTAGTAAATCAGTCACAAAAGTAATAATTTTTTTTATATTTAAGAATCATGGTAAAAATAGTTATCACAAATATAATAAAAATATCCACAATAATGATAAAATATATCCATTAAAATGTTAAATTAATTACAAAAGTGATAAATATTTTAATTATTAAATAATCCATAAAAATTGTAAAAATATCATTTAAAATAATAAATTTTAGAGGTATGATACCAAATTTTTTTGGCTGCATCGTAGTCAAGTCCCAATCTTTATGACCGGAGGTGGTGGATCAGAGGGGACCTGATGGGTGGCTCGTGTGTGACTGAGACCATGGTAATGACACGTGAGGGGGGGTCATTGTTGTTGCTTTCTTAGCTGAGAGATGATCAGGTGGTTCTTTCTCTTCTTTTGAGGGGTTTGAATAAAGTCGGAAGTCTTGCTAGCTTGAGAATGAACTTGACCCTTTAACCCGAATTGGTAATTTTTTTATTTTTTTTTTTATGAACAAGAGCCAAACTATAACACAACTCCTTAAAAAGAAAAATGCCGAATTGGTAATTTAAGTGGTATCAAGAATGAGCGAGTTTCGACGTTTTAATTTTGAATGTTAATAATTTTTTGGAGTTAGTTTATAAAAGATTTATCTTTTCTGAATTTTTTAATTCCGGCATAAATGACTTGTATTTGGTCAAATTGAGAAAGAGATTAATCGAGATAAACATAAATTAATTCGAACATCCCTAACCGTTGAAAAAAAAAAAACTTGGTTTCTTTTGATTCTTGCAGTCTCAAGGAGTGTCAATCGTGTCGTGTTGTATCAGTTTTGTGTCGTGTCATTTTCGATTGTGTTATTTTCGTGTCATATCACTTTCGGTACGTGTCGAGTTCGTATCAATATTCGTGTTAATAAAAAATCATTTAACTTGACAAAAATTAATATAATACTATTTAAAAAATTATAAAATTCTTATTTTCTATCTACAATATTCATTAAATAATTATTTTTTATTTAATGTACCAATTAATCGTGTTATTCGCGTCGAACCTTAATTTGACCCATTTACTACTCGTGTTCATTAATCGTGTTATTTTGGGGCTCATGTCGGATTCGGTTCAAGTCGAGTTTGTGTTCGAGGCAAAAATTGACACCTCTTCACAGGGTATTAATATACTCCATGGATTATACCAACCCGATTTAGTTTGAAAGTATCCAAACTCTTTGAAGTTGGACCTTAAAATCTAATATAACCACACAACACGACAGCACGACGTTCAAACTAATTAACCGAGTTTCATCGGGCAGCCGTGTTTACTGAAGCATCCAAATTTATTTTAAAATGTTGGATGATAACAAGGAAAAAAAGAAAAGAATGTGATGGTACATAAGGGGAAAAAGGGGATGATGGATAGGACCTTCCCAACACTTAGAGTTCCTCTTTCCCCACTTTTTGTACCCTTTTTTTTCACTTTTTCTTGCTTATCATTTTAGAGGAGACAAAGTTGGGCCCAAATGGGATTCTATGCCCTTCTCTCAAGTTAGTGATTGCTAGACTCGTGAAATAATTGAGGCTAGGCAAATTAGATACAATCATGGTTAGGGGCTCTCTAATCTCCTATTGTGTATATCAATGGAGAGAGAGAGAGAGAGAGAGAGAGAGAGAGAGAGAGAGAGAGAGAGAGAGAGAGAGAGAGAGAGGAGGGGGGGGGAATCCCATTTTGGAAGACATAAATAGGTCCCATTAGTAAGTAGAACATATTGGAAGTCATAAGTAGGGCCTTGTTGGAAAGTAACATAATTTATGAGTCTAATGAAGGGCTTGAAAAGAACCAAACAAAACATAATCATGATTTGCATTGCTAGACCTTTCTAAATTTGGTCAAACAATCATCTTTTACATGGTAAAAAATAAAGATGAAGAAAAGCACTGAGCCCATAGCTTTATGTTTTGCAATAATAAGTAGAATTTCTTTATATGGTCAAAGTAGATATTCGGTGCATACAATTCTCTCATCTATAATATCATTTGTGAGAGATAAGTAATTGACAATCTTACTGTATTTTAGAAATGTGAATATGTGAAATCAAACCCATGACGTATGACAGGGGTGTCTATGGGCCGAATTGCCCATGATTCCCGTTATTCTGAGTTGAAAAAAAAGGTTAGAAACTCGATAGACTCGATAGTTGATCCGTCTGAGCTAAAACCTAATATCCTTCAAGAGAGGGTTTGAGCTTATCCCTAAATCCATTACCCAGCCCAATAGCTTGTCCAGCTTGAACAACCCGTTAAAACTCAGCCGAAGAACTCGCCCGCCTAGCCCAACTCGAAAAACATGTCCACTTTCTTTTAAAAAAAAGTTAGACACATTAAATTTGAAATTTAAAAAAGAAAGATAGGTGGGTAGGTGTCAATTTAGTTAAGATGTGTTCATTCTATTGTGATACAGTTCCTCTCCTATTTATAAATAAAATTATTCATTTTATATTTTTTGTCCATTTTGACTCTATTTTTAATTCAAAAATATAATTTATAAAAATTTTAAGTTTTAAAAATATTCATTATTTCTAAATGAAGTATATAAGAAAGTCCGTCCAGTAGGTTTGCCCTGCAGGCCTGCTTATAAGCCCACCCAACAGGCCCATTAACCTCGTCTAGTGAGTGATAAGTTGGGCTGTGAGTAGCCTATTCCTACCCAAACTCCGGCCCAACCCGTACCAATAACTCACTTGGGTAAGTTTGGCCTCCCCTACCTAAATCCAGCTTGAAAAAAATTTCACAGGCCAAACCTGACCCAACCCAACCTATGGACAACCCTAACAAATGACTTAAGTGGATGGTGAGTAGGTCTGTCAAATAATCGAATTTAAGATATTTAAACAGATTAGATAGATAAACGGATGAAAATATTAGTTCATATCCAATTAAATAGATTCAAATTTGGACTGAAATTCTTTCCCTTGACATGTTAAGTTGTCATCGCTCTATCTTTGACTTCTAAAATAATAGTAAAGATAAAGAGTTAAAAGAGCAAAAAAAAAAAAAAAAGACAGGTAAATAAGCTTCATGATTATATGACATCAAGCAGAGACCATGAAAGTTGGGCTGCTACAGAAAAGGACTTAAGAAAGTATTTTTTTTCTCTTTTTTTTTGATTAGTAAAGAGGGGAGAGAGTGACCAATAGATAGTGACCCTCTCTGGACGTAATCATGAGAGTCTCTCTCGGATATGAAATGTTCGATTAGTCGTAACTACAGACCTCTTTGGAATAACTCATCATCACACCACCACAAGAGTCTAAATAATAAAGACATAAGAACTCCAAAAATCGAATCCTGCTTGACAATTACGTGGGAGTCAAAATATGATCCAAAGACAGTCTTAAGAAAGTTGAACAACACAACAATGACGACTACACAGTTTTCTCTCCCCCTCCTCTTCCATGGGTTCAAAACTCCTCCATCCATCTCCGGTTGCCAATATGTTGAATATATGGACCACTGACACTATTCTCGATGACTCTCCGGCCATTCGATAACCCGCCAAGAAGAAAAGACAAGTTCCGATCGGCGCCATAGTAAGGTAAAGCCGTTGCACCCGCGACCTATTTTCTCCATTGATGCATGATGTGCATGGAAGCTTCTGTTGTGACCCTTCAACTATATACCATATATTGAGCTTCCCATCATATGTCTCAATGTGACCCTTCCATGCATTTAGGCAATACCCAGAGCTAAATAACTTGTCATCCACGGCAACAATTTGATTAGGTGGCACATCTAGTTGCCACATCCTTGACACGAGGTCTCCCTTACGTCTCTGTTCATCATACACCTCAGTAGAACTACGATCCACATAAAGCACAATTCTATCCGACGTTATTCTATTCTCAACAAATCCACCGACCACGTAGATTTTTTCTTGCCATGTCACGCCTACACATTTGTACCTTGAAGTGCTCATATTTGGCAATGGGGTCCACTTATCACGCGATGGGTCATACATCTCAGCAGATGAAGTACCCCTCGCGCTAGCCAAGGTGGACTGCCCCCCGGCCACGTAGATCTTATTGTCACATANCACGCGATGGGTCATACATCTCAGCAGACGAAGTACCCCTCGCGCTAGCCAAGGTGGACTGCCCCCCGGCCACGTAGATCCTATTGTCACACACTGTACATGCAAAATCATACCGTGGTACATTGAGTGGTGCACATGTGGACCATTGATCTGTATGAACATTGTAACATAAAACCGATGAAAGTACCTCAACGTCAACCTCGGAAATGTCATTAGAATACAGAGCTCTTTTCTTGTTACATAATCGTCCCCCGATTATATAAATTGAGTCCCCATTTGAAGTCATGGCGAAGTCCTTTAGCACATGGTTCTCAATTAGTCCAAAGATTGGACTAACATAACTCCATGTGTTGTTGGAAGGATCGTAGCACCCGATCCAATTCGAGACGTATATGTTATGCCCTGGCTCTCTAAAGTAAAACGAGGCGTACACCCGATAGCGAGACATTGAATTCTCAAGCGACGGCTCCAGTGTTGTGGGTGGTGGGGAGGAGAAGGAACCCATTGAAGTAGTGACTTTTGGGTGTTTTGAGAAGTTCAGTAGCTTAGTGTGTGTAATGGTACAAAGTAGTTATAGAATAAGGAATGAAAGATTTAGAATAGGCTAGGCGGATGGTACAATAAAAAAGTTGCTTGTTAGCATCGACTAGGGATTGGAATGTGGGGGGTGATAGCACCTAGGCTCTATGATGAACATATCTAGATTTTTCTTTGGTGGGTTGTGTTTTTTATATAATTACTTTGATGGATTATTCTGTGTCCTATGTTGAGTTATAATACTTCACGAGCAGGCAAGAAGATTCTACTTAGTCAATGGGTCCAATTATGCCGAACCAATGATAGTTTTGCATTCAGAACAATTTATTGATGAATACTTTCCTTGGAATTGGCTTCCGCAAAACTTGCATTATAAAAAATGTTTGAAAGATATGGAATGCATTCTCGCATGAAAGCAATGTAGAGAAAGTATTATGCACGACTTGTCCAATGACTATTTATAGGTAAAAGACAAAGTGTAAATTTGTACATCCCGAGTTTACGTCCCTATAGCCTAATAAAATTCAAATTTAAGCGATGCACATAATTTATGAGGGTTGCACTCATGACTAAAAAAAACATTGTTGGAATGATTATTTTTTCTTTTTCTTTTTTCAAAAAAATCTTAAGACTACTCAGCCTATTAGTTTTTTTGAAGACATCCGATACAACTGAAACGATACAAAGAAAAGTAGCACAACCTCTAAACAAGAATGACATGCACAGTTCATCCCAAAGTATGCTACTCTGAGGTATCACATGTCTTTATGACCTCTGGTCCAAAAAGCCTTGGCCATTTTGGATGGTGTGGCAGGTGACCCTTTCCACCATATATTTCTCCACTGTAATTCAAGTCTCATAGCTTGGGGTGCAGGAAGAAACCTGAAATAGACTATTATTGTTGCCAAATGATTTGACCCTATGAAGTGTAAATATCATTGGAAAACAAGTCTGATGAACTGTTAAGTAGCTACTCCACCATTTGCCTTTTGCATCCTCAATACAAATACCACCAGCACCATAAAAGGGTTCAAATACTAGAATCATGAAAAAAAAAAAAAGGAAAGGAAAAAGAAACACTTGCACCACTTGCTTTTTGCATCCTAGATGCAACATGATAGAAGTGTAAATATTTCACCCAAACCAGTTTATCAAGAATTTTTTTCCAAATCTAGCAGAATCTTTTCTAGATAAAATGGGAAACACTTCAACAGTAATATTAGTAGTAATAACAAGATTTTGACAACCCCTCAAAATGATAGTGTGCCGATCATGACTAGGGTGTTTCTGATTAAAGTGGTTACACTATAATCAATTCGGGCATGGTACATGGTATGCCAAACGAATTCCAGAAAATATTGACTTCAAATTATGAGGAGACAAATGTGTATACAACAGCCTAAAGGAGTAAATGCAACACCCTAACACGACACAGATTCTAATAAAACGACAATCACGAATAACTGCCTGCAGTCTTTTTCGATAGAAGTATATTTGCTTTCCTTCATATTTGGTTCATTCTGTTAAGCTTCCACTACAAGAGGGATACAATGGAATAACACACCAGGAGCTTTCACTCCTGTCAGACAGCAGGATCTTCAAGAATGGCAGTAGATAAATCACTTATGCGAGGATAAGCAGCTTTCTCATCAAGTTGGCTTTGGGCCCATATAAGCATCTTTAATAAGCTCGGAAGTTTTGGATCTGTTTTTCAGTGTCGGGTAAATCTTTCAAACTCTTGAAAATCAAAAAATTGCAATAAATAGCTACACTGATGTTTATGATGATACTATCAAGAAATGCAATACAATACAAAATTAAGAGTTATGAATCAGCTGAAAATGGAGATGCTGCAGAGAAAAGAGCATTCTTTATACAGGCAAATAATGCTTGCAAGCACATCAATGCAACTAAGACGATTTCTAATATGACAGATGCTATTTAAATTAGACAATCTAGAAAATGATCACACACTCAGCCTCCCTAAAATTCAATTGGAAGTCAGAAGGTACCTTGCTGTCCACTTTAGGTGATGGACTGTTACTGATTAGGTAAAATAAACATTTGCTGGCAGCTCAAATTGAGTAACTGGCACTTTTTTATAAACAGACCATATCACAGTCAACAACACAATTTCAGCCTAATCACCTGACCAAATTTGTTGGTCTTGTCTATCAATAGCAGACCAAGAAACTGATCTTACTAAGTTCTAACCAGAAGTAAAAGAAAACTAACAGTTTGGTAAGTAATATGACAGAGATCGTGTAGGAGTTGGATAAATATTATATATTAATTATGAGAGTTATTTGGATATTTTTAGTATTTATCTTTTCTTTTAACTTTTGAGGGTTTATTTGTTATTATTTATTTCTTTTAGGGTTTTGATTTCCCTATATAAAGAAATGCATGTAAGGGTTTTATTTAGACTTAACTTATTGAATATTAAGGCCTATTTGCCTAGATCTCCTTGTTCCCTTCCTTTCTCTCTTCTATTTCTCATCCCCTTAATTCTATTTTATTCTTCACTTCTCATTTCCTTTTATTCTTCTATTCTCATCTCTATTATCTTCTCCTTAATCTACGTTAAGAATCAAGCTAGTACGATCTACATCAATGGGTATCAGAGTTATTACAATCTACATCATAATATTAATGTCCAAACTTAAAGTAAGACTTATATATATTTTCATGTGTGTTAACGATAAAGAAATTTGTCAGCAGCCCTTGAAATTTCATATCATACTACTTGTATGTGGTTGTAACTTGAAAAAAATTGTCAATAAGAAAGTTACTGACCTTTTTCATGACTTTGGCTAGTAAGAATGGCTGCATTCACCTCACTGGCTGTCTTTAGGCGCTGTGATATGTCCAGAAGCCCTCCAACAGGGCAGTTGGCAACATCTTCAAAAGCCAGTAGTGCAACTGTCCTTTCTAATTCTTCTAAAAAGCTTTGCTGCAGAAATTAAGATCCGTCAAAAGAGCAATTATTAGCACCTATATTTTGCAAATATGCTGAGTTTAGATGCAAAAGTGCTTGTAATTAAGACAATTCTGTTCCAATCTTCAAGCTTGGTGCCATACATAACATGGTTCAAAGTCGCGGTATCGGCCGATACGCTCAAAATGCTAGATAGAAGTTCCAAAAAAAATTTAAAAAATTATAAAAAATTCTAAAAATATAAACATCATCATTCATACATCATATGTCTAAAATATATTCAAAAACACATTAAAAATAATTAAAATAAAATATAAGGACGCTACTGAAAATAATTATCATTATCACTGCTTAATGTCAGCACTTAAAAAATATCATCATTATTATTGTCTCTAAGATAATACAAATTGGGATAATTTCAACCATAAAGTTAATAAGTTAGCATTTGATTTAAAATAGAATACTTCAAATATTTATTTAAAAAATAAAATAATTTGAATATCTAACTATTACATTAAATATTTTAATGATTTATTAAATAGTAAATTTAATCTAAGTAAACTTGGTCAAAAAGTGAACCCAAAAACCAATTACCCACAAATAAAATAAATTAACCACACTATGTTAATAAATTAACTACTCTAAGTAAACTAAATTAACCACACTTTAATAAATTACTCACACTAAGTAAATTAAAGTAACCATATTTAAGTTAATAAATTAACCACAGTCAAATAGTCTTTAATAGTTTAACTAGGTCACTAGGTTTGCCATTGTGGGTTTGATAGACTCTCAGACGAGGTCCCGAGAGAGAAAGAGAGAGGAGAGAGGCGAGAGGCGAGACTCTCAGATGAGAGAAACGAGAGACCAGCAGAGATGAAGAGAGAGGAACAGGGGGAGTCAGGGGCTGTTTGAGACTTCGACTGCGATCGATGATGCTGGTCAAGCAACCTAGGGTTTGTGCAATTTGCGATCTATGATTGTAATCAATGATGCTGGGTCTTTGCTGCGAAGAAGAAGAAGAAGAAGAAGAAAGAGAAGAACAAAACTTGTTGATTGTTGTGCGAATGGAAAAAGAAGAAGGCAGTTATGCCTTCAATTTTAAGGTATGCCTTTTGCAAATCTGAGTCCCATTTTTTGCTTGATTTCATATCTCTCTTTCTTCTCTATTTTGATCTTTTTTTTTGCATTTTGTCTTTCAATTTTGTAAGAATTTTATCATATCTGTCCGAGTCTAGTATGACTCGTCCGAGTTGTAACCGAGTCACGACCGATTCAGGTAAGACTCGTGATTTTTGTGTAACGGGTACTGTTATTGTATCGGAGGGCCGAGTCGTATCGGACTCGGCCGATACCTTGAACCATGATACATAAAGTCCAAGCATGCAAATAAAACAGTTTGACAAAGGAAGTTCATTGATTTCAAAGAAGAAAAGACCGGACTGACTAGCAAGAAATTAAGTGTAACTATGCATCAAAAGTTATAAGGATCTGAGCATTACATTTTCCTCTCCCCTTGGAGCAAGCTCCTCCTGGGCGAACTCCAAAGCCTCTTCCACCTTACCATTCCTAATCAATTCTATCAACTTTTGCTGTTGGAGATGGAAAAAGAGTTGGGGATTTGTATCCAATATCTGCATAAAAAAATTGTCAGATCAAATCAAACTTTTGAATTTTGATCAACCAAAAAACGATAAAATTTTCCCCAGCAACATGTATTATGCATTCCACGCTGCCAACAGACGGAATAAACATAATCAGGTGCCAACCGTGTCACAAGTCTCAGTAACAACATGAAACTAAATGATTCTCCAATTTCTAATTTATTGATGCAGGACTGCAGATATTTTTCGTTTATTGTCAATTGCTTGATGGGGATGTATGTTCTTCTTATTTGCCCTTATCTGGGGCTTGCAACTTTTTTTATAAGAAATATCTTGCTTAGAAATTCCAGGATTACACGTGACATTTCGAAATGGTCCAATCACCTATGTAATACCCTAAATTTAGCTAAGAATAACTCCCCTAGGTCACTAATATAGCAGAACTTAAGTTATACAAGTGACTTTTTTAAGTATAAAAATGGTAATTCCAATGCTTTTTGTGAATTGTTCAGAAAATAAATATTCACCAAAGCTGTTTTAGTTTTTTCTCAAGAGTGTTTTGACCACATACATCCTGAGATTTTAAAGCTAATGATCACTCAGTGCCTTGAAATCATAATCCAAAAATACTAAACGATTTCACTCTATTCAGAATGTTCAGTGCTGCTTTCAAAATACACCTAAAAGATCATTGCATGTATAAAAGGATGTGTCATTGTTTAAGGAAAGAGTAAGGAGATCTAGGATATCCGACATTTGTTAATGTGTGCCTAGTACCAAGTTTTGAATCACTGCAGTGAAAAATATCATGCATTTCTAATGAGAAGATAGATTATCTAACCTCGGGGTTCAAATCATTAACTTTTTCGATTGCATCCTCAACATTCCCACACTGGACTGCCTTCTTAACTGCCATACGATCTGTGATAGTTGCAAGATCTATGTCTGCTATTTATCTATAAGGTCAAACATACCTTGGAAGATAAAAGTACACCATGCCAGCAAGGCATAATCATTAAAAGGAACATGAAATGCCCTGATTAGAAAATGAAGAAGGATACGTTCTGTCCCCGATTCCATTCTGAACTTCTCCGCTGCGTCAACATAACCCTCTGTGACAAGAAAGTTCATCACCAATTTATTCATATCTTCTTTCCTAATCTTTACATCATTAAGTCTTTTCTCCCACTCCTCCCTTGTTATTACCTTCTTTGAAGTAGCCTGTCAAGAAAGAAATTTTCAGAAATAACCACATTGGTATTCCACAAGGAGAAAAAGAAAAACAGGGAAAAAAAGAAAAAGTAGAGCATGTTTTGCACTCCCTATAATGACTAAATATTTGATTGGGTCTGTTCACATACAGTTTTCAATAACATGTGCCAATCGTGATCTTGTAGCCAAATTACAAAAAGCAAGGCACTTTTCAACATTTCTGCCAAATGTAACAGCTCCATAATTCTCATGGATCTGCAAATCATGCACCCACCCCATTGATTTCACTCTGGAAAAATTGCAGCTATGCACAAATCTCACACCTAAATTTCATATTTTCTTTAACATTTACAGGGTTGCAGGACTTCCAAAATCTCTCGATACACCTACTGANTTCACTTTCCATGTAGAGGAAATTCCGTCCGGTGATAGTGTACCATTCCAGAATTGTCTCACATCGGTAGGCTATTTATTTTATGCTCTCTTTCATTGTAAAAATACGGATTAACAGAATGAATTGGGTTGGTGTTCCTCCATAGTTTTTAGTCTTCAAATTTCATCACAATTTATTGATGAATACTTTCCTTGGAATTGGCTTCCGCAAAACTTGCATTATAAAAAATGTTTGAAAGATATGGAACGCATTCTCGCATGAAAGCAATGGAGAGAAAGTATTATGCACGACTTGTCCAATGACTATTTATACGTAAAAGACAAAGTGTAAATTCGTACATCCCGAATTTATGTCCCTATAGCCTAATAAAATTCAAATTTAAGCGATGCACATAATTTATGAGGGTTGCACTCGTGACCAAANTATAAAGAAATGCATGTAAGGGTTTTATTTAGACTTAACTTATTGAATATTAAGGCCTATTTGCCTAGATCTCCTTGTTCCCTTCCTTTCTCTCTTCTATTTCTCATCCCCTTAATTCTATTTTATTCTTCACTTCTCATTTCCTTTTATTCTTCTATTCTCATCTCTATTATCTTCTCCTTAATCTACGTTAAGAATCAAGCTAGTACGATCTACATCAATGGGTATCAGAGTTATTACAATCTACATCATAATATTAATGTCCAAACTTAAAGTAAGACTTATATATATTTTCATGTGTGTTAACGATAAAGAAATTTGTCAGCAGCCCTTGAAATTTCATATCATACTACTTGTATGTGGTTGTAACTTGAAAAAAATTGTCAATAAGAAAGTTACTGACCTTTTTCATGACTTTGGCTAGTAAGAATGGCTGCATTCACCTCACTGGCTGTCTTTAGGCGCTGTGATATGTCCAGAAGCCCTCCAACAGGGCAGTTGGCAACATCTTCAAAAGCCAGTAGTGCAACTGTCCTTTCTAATTCTTCTAAAAAGCTTTGCTGCAGAAATTAAGATCCGTCAAAAGAGCAATTATTAGCACCTATATTTTGCAAATATGCTGAGTTTAGATGCAAAAGTGCTTGTAATTAAGACAATTCTGTTCCAATCTTCAAGCTTGGTGCCATACATAACATGGTTCAAAGTCGCGGTATCGGCCGATACGCTCAAAATGCTAGATAGAAGTTCCAAAAAAAATTTAAAAAATTATAAAAAATTCTAAAAATATAAACATCATCATTCATACATCATATGTCTAAAATATATTCAAAAACACATTAAAAATAATTAAAATAAAATATAAGGACGCTACTGAAAATAATTATCATTATCACTGCTTAATGTCAGCACTTAAAAAATATCATCATTATTATTGTCTCTAAGATAATACAAATTGGGATAATTTCAACCATAAAGTTAATAAGTTAGCATTTGATTTAAAATAGAATACTTCAAATATTTATTTAAAAAATAAAATAATTTGAATATCTAACTATTACATTAAATATTTTAATGATTTATTAAATAGTAAATTTAATCTAAGTAAACTTGGTCAAAAAGTGAACCCAAAAACCAATTACCCACAAATAAAATAAATTAACCACACTATGTTAATAAATTAACTACTCTAAGTAAACTAAATTAACCACACTTTAATAAATTACTCACACTACGTAAATTAAAGTAACCATATTTAAGTTAATAAATTAACCACAGTCAAATAGTCTTTAATAGTTTAACTAGGTCACTAGGTTTGCCATTGTTGGTTTGATAGACTCTCAGACGAGGTCCCGAAAGAGAAAGAGAGAGGCGAGAGGCGAGACTCTCAGATGAGAGAAACGAGAGACCAGCAGAGATGAAGAGAGAGGAACAGGGGGAGTCAGGGGCTGTTTGAGACTTCGACTGCGATCGATGATGCTGGTCAAGCAACCTAGGGTTTCTGCAATTTGCGATCTATGATTGTAATCAATGATTCTGGGTCTTTGCTAAGAAGAAGAAGAAGAAGAAAGAGAAGAACAAAACTTGTTGATTGTTGTGCGAATGGAAAAAGAAGAAGGCAGTTATGCCTTCAATTTTAAGGTATGCCTTTTGCAAATCTGAGTCCCATTTTTTGCTTGATTTCATATCTCTCTTTCTTCTCTATTTTGATCTTTTTTTTGCATTTTGTCTTTCAATTTTGTAAGAATTTTATCATATCTGTCCGAGTCTAGTATGACTCGTCCGAGTTGTAACCGAGTCACGACCGATTCAGGTAAGACTCGTGATTTTTGTGTAACGGGTACTGTTATTGTATCGGAGGGCCGAGTCGTATCGGACTCGGCCGATACCTTGAACCATGATACATAAAGTCCAAGCATGCAAATAAAACAGTTTGACAAAGGAAGTTCATTGATTTCAAAGAAGAAAAGACCGGACTGACTAGCAAGAAATTAAGTGTAACTATGCATCAAAAGTTATAAGGATCTGAGCATTACATTTTCCTCTCCCCTTGGAGCAAGCTCCTCCTGGGCGAACTCCAAAGCCTCTTCCACCTTACCATTCCTAATCAATTCTATCAACTTTTGCTGTTGGAGATGGAAAAAGAGTTGGGGATTTGTATCCAATATCTGCATAAAAAAATTGTCAGATCAAATCAAACTTTTGAATTTTGATCAACCAAAAAACGATAAAATTTTCCCCAGCAACATGTATTATGCATTCCACGCTGCCAACAGACGGAATAAACATAATCAGGTGCCAACCGTGTCACAAGTCTCAGTAACAACATGAAACTAAATGATTCTCCAATTTCTAATTTATTGATGCAGGACTGCAGATATTTTTCGTTTATTGTCAATTGCTTGATGGGGATGTATGTTCTTCTTATTTGCCCTTATCTGGGGCTTGCAACTTTTTTTATAAGAAATATCTTGCTTAGAAATTCCAGGATTACACGTGACATTTCGAAATGGTCCAATCACCTATGTAATACCCTAAATTTAGCTAAGAATAACTCCCCTAGGTCACTAATATAGCAGAACTTAAGTTATACAAGTGACTTTTTTAAGTATAAAAATGGTAATTCCAATGCTTTTTGTGAATTGTTCAGAAAATAAATATTCACCAAAGCTGTTTTAGTTTTTTCTCAAGAGTGTTTTGACCACATACATCCTGAGATTTTAAAGCTAATGATCACTCAGTGCCTTGAAATCATAATCCAAAAATACTAAACGATTTCACTCTATTCAGAATGTTCAGTGCTGCTTTCAAAATACACCTAAAAGATCATTGCATGTATAAAAGGATGTGTCATTGTTTAAGGAAAGAGTAAGGAGATCTAGGATATCCGACATTTGTTAATGTGTGCCTAGTACCAAGTTTTGAATCACTGCAGTGAAAAATATCATGCATTTCTAATGAGAAGATAGATTATCTAACCTCGGGGTTCAAATCATTAACTTTTTCGATTGCATCCTCAACATTCCCACACTGGACTGCCTTCTTAACTGCCATACGATCTGTGATAGTTGCAAGATCTATGTCTGCTATTTATCTATAAGGTCAAACATACCTTGGAAGATAAAAGTACACCATGCCAGCAAGGCATAATCATTAAAAGGAACATGAAATGCCCTGATTAGAAAATGAAGAAGGATACGTTCTGTCCCCGATTCCATTCTGAACTTCTCCGCTGCGTCAACATAACCCTCTGTGACAAGAAAGTTCATCACCAATTTATTCATATCTTCTTTCCTAATCTTTACATCATTAAGTCTTTTCTCCCACTCCTCCCTTGTTATTACCTTCTTTGAAGTAGCCTGTCAAGAAAGAAATTTTCAGAAATAACCACATTGGTATTCCACAAGGAGAAAAAGAAAAACAGGGAAAAAAAGAAAAAGTAGAGCATGTTTTGCACTCCCTATAATGACTAAATATTTGATTGGGTCTGTTCACATACAGTTTTCAATAACATGTGCCAATCGTGATCTTGTAGCCAAATTACAAAAAGCAAGGCACTTTTCAACATTTCTGCCAAATGTAACAGCTCCATAATTCTCATGGATCTGCAAATCATGCACCCACCCCATTGATTTCACTCTGGAAAAATTGCAGCTATGCACAAATCTCACACCTAAATTTCATATTTTCTTTAACATTTACAGGGTTGCAGGACTTCCAAAATCTCTCGATACACCTACTGAGGCATGTTATTTTGTCAGTATGGTCAAAGACAACAGGGCTAACAAATAAATTTAAGTATCATGCTCTCTAACTTAAGAAATTAAACTTTTTGTCCAAAATTATTCCCCCTAACTAATGCATGTAGGAAACTTCATTTTCCTTTCTTTCACTTAAATTACTTCTAGTTTTAGTTTCACAAATTCTTTCTTGCTAACCAAATGGAGTCTATTAGGAGCTAATAAAACAAACACAACTGAGTCATTCAATAGTCGTAGATCAGCTAACTGTCCCTTACCCAATTGCCACAACCCTAAAAAGAATTGCAACAGAACATTTTACTCTTATACCAAAACTTTCTACTTCCTTTAACCCTGACTTATCTGCAGAAATTAAGACAAAATAAACGGGTTTTACAAGTGTTTCTTAAGTTAAAATTGTTAATAGCAACCAAAAACCCTTCCTCCACAAGACCCTTCAAATCGAATACTCATATCCCCAAAATACTAGATCCATGATCACGATTCATATAAACACTAAATTTGGCACTCAATTACTCAATTTCGCATCATATAAACAGTAAATTTCATCAAGATTCAGTTCAATTTATGTAAAATATTAGTATGAAACAAGGAATGAAAAATTTTCACCATGGCTTCAATCTCTGCGAGTTGACGAGAGATTATCCAGAACAATGACATCAGTGTTCACTGATCCGCCTTCTGACCCATGACATGTATAAAATCACTCCATTGTTTGCTTCAATTTCTCTCTGTTTTTGAATCGAAAATCAAATTCCAAAATGAAAATTCTCATCCGCGGCTGAGATCGATTGTAGCTCATAATCTCTCTCTTTCTAAAGTTTTCTACTTCCGAAAATACCCTCCATTAACTACGTAAATTACAAATGCTGTCCCGATCACTTTTTTCTTTTTTATTTAGGTTAATCTTACTTTGCACTCCGAAAGAAATTTCAATTCTGAATTTGTATCCACAATTATTAAAAATCTTAATTTGTACTCTCAATATTATGAATTGGTAACAATGTGAACTTCGCTTAGATTATCATTCAGTTATCTATCATAAATTGAAACACACAAGTTATAAGTGCTTTGGTATGAGGACGAGGTGTGTTCATCACTGTAGATATTCGTTTGCAATCAATTTGACATCATTTTATGTATCAAAAATAAAGTTTCGTTAATCAAATAGAAGTTAAATCTATCATGTGCAACTCACTTGAGACACAAACAATTTATGAATTTATACATAAGTCCATAGTCGAAACACTTACGACTCATGTGCTTCAATTTTTGACGAAAAACTAAACGGTAGTCTAGGAAAAGTCCACGTTACTACTAATTTATAACATTGAAAGTACAAATTGAGATTTTTAATATTTGAGTATATAAATTAAGAATCAAAACATCTTTTAGGGTACAAAGTGACAATAGTCCTTTTTATTTTTCCATTAGCAAATAAGCCTCCCAATGTATCAAATTTCAGTCCGAATTTGAATCCGTATAATTGAATATGGACTTATATTTTAATCTATTTATCTTGAATCTGATCCAAATCCATTTAAGTATCTTAAATCGAAAAAAGAGATGAATATATACAAATTGGATTCGAAAAAAAATTGATGTGGTTAATATATATATATATATATATATATGTTGACCTTTATTACATATATATGTATATTGATTATTTCAATTTGATGATAAAAAGATTATTTGTTTAAATTTTGAGGGTCTTGTGTTGTTAATGTTGTTGATCAAAACGTCATCGTTTAAACAGAACAAATGTCGATTTGGCATAAAAGGATATTGTTCTGATCAACAACACATCTGCTTCGTGTTATGATGGAGGAGTCGGACTCACATTTGAGGGTTTTTTTCTATTGACTTCATGTTATGTATAAACTGTGTTTTAGTGAGTTCATATAATATTTAACTAATTTCGTCTCAACTCATTTATTTAACAAGTTAAACTAGTCTATAAATCTATTTATTTTTTTTGATCAAAAAAAAAATCTATTTATTTTACATTTTTAATTGGTCCATTCAAATTATGATCTAAGATCTATTAATTTTGTATCAACTTTAGTTTTGAGTTTGCCAGCCATGTGAAGAAATATCAGGATAGTATAGTTCACTGTTACATAATTGAACTACTACTTCAAGGTGGTAATTCAAATGATATGTAACTAATTATCTCAAGATATTGTGAATACCAAGCCCCACTTTTTTTTGTAGGAAGAATAGAATTATTATTAATTATTATTAATTGAAATTCATCAAGAAAATGACACACCAAACATGCATCTACGAATCCCTCTTCCAAACCTAGTGTGAAAATTGATTAAACCATACTGGAGTGTCTTACACTACACAATCTATAGTAAACCAAAGCAACACAAACCCTATTTGCCTCTAATCATAACACTCTTAAAGTTGTCACAGTATCCCTAACGGCACTTTATTTATTTTTCCTTCTCTCAACCACAGTACATGGACTGTGCAAAATGCATCAAGTGTTAGACAGTTGACAACTGGCTAGGGGTATGAGATACGGGTTTAAAACTGCCGGAGGCTTGAGTCTCAGCTGCAGCAGAACAGTCCCTTTTTTTCTCTTTCTTACATTACTCTCAAGAAAAATGTGATGTTCAATGTGAAAATGGTGATATTTTATCATCTTTACCATAACAATTTGCACTACCACCACAAACCTTGTTTGTATTATTGGAATTCTAATTCAAAAACTATCTATAGATTGTGAGAGTGAAAAAAAAAAAAAA